TGTACCTATATGCACGTTCACACATTTCTAAGACATGTGTAAGGTACTGGGTACAAAGAGCAACTCACAGGCTGGAGACTGCTGCTCAAGATACTTTGTTAATAGTGAAATGGCGATCAGAGAAAAAAGGAAATGAATGCACAGCAGTATATGTATGTACTGTATATGGTGGAAATCCTACCATTACGTTTGGTTTAAAGAAGACAAGATAGTCAAATGTGCTTAAATCGCATTCAAGACTTTGAGTATATCCTGCATATGAATCTACTTCATTCATGGGAGATGGGAGATTTTAATATTGATACTCTTTGACCCAAGAGGTCTCTTCTTGATTTCCTTACCCTTATAGTTTTAGGAAAGAGCTGTCTGAAGCGTTGTGCTTCTCAGGGGCTTGTGTACTGAACTGAAGCCATTATTTTTTCCATCTTAAAAAGAAATTGGACACCCATTGTCAGACCACCCTAACTATGCAGATCCAGTCTTAGCAGAGAGCCACCAAACATCTCCAGTAATTGCGTTTCAGTTGTTCAGATTCTAATTATAACTAAATGACTCAACAAATACAAAGGGTTTGGGTAGTTTGGTGTTTACTTTGGTGTTCACACACCTGGCTGAGGGCTGGAGATCAGGGCTGTCACAGTAGGTAGTGCAGTGGTGAGCATTGCTGCCTGGCATTACTGGGGCCCTGAGATCAATTCTGGACTTGGGGTGCTATTTGCGTGGAGTTTATATGTTCCCCCTGGTTTCCTTCTGCAACCCAAAGACAAATTGGTACATTGATCGGCTCCTGGGAAGACTGGCTCTGATGTGATCGTGTGTGTTTGTGTCTGTGTGTGCCCTCAGATGGAATGGTGTCCTGTATAGGGTACATACCACCTTGTACCTGCTGCTACGTCATGACCCTGTATTGGATAAAACATTTAGAAAATGGATGGATGAATGTGTAAATGTACATTAATAATGTAATGTTTTACTACTATTATTACTCATTTTAAAAATTGTTTTTTAAAACACTTTCAAACACCTAATTTGTGCATATGCTGAAGAACACATCTCATTTGATCGGTAATATACCTATACCCAGCCAAACTGTTTTTCTTGAAGCAAGAACCATGGCAAACTAAAATTAGAATGCTCACACCCAGTAACATATTTTAATGACCAAGCCAGTTAAAGACTGATATTTTATTGGCTTCAAATCCCAATTTAAATGTCACAGTAAGCTTTATTCATGGAGACCCAAAATGTTGTGGTTACTGCTGAAAGAGTCTGTAAAGAGTTCAACAGCAAAATAAAAAAAAATGCTGGATGTAGAAGTCTTATAAGCAGTGCACATTAGCCATATTACCTCTAGGGAGTTTCTAAAGGGCGTTAAAATGCAGCTTTAGGAGTATTTTCTGGGAAATCATCGTATAACACATAATCCAAACACTTGATGAATGTTAGTCTAAGGTCCTGCAGTCAGACATGGGACAGGTTTTCATATTAAAAGCCCTTGTTTTTTTTTCAAGCTGTGGTTTTATGTAAAAATGTGTTTTAGAAAAAATAAAAATAGCCCCTCTGTAGATAGGATTTGGGGTGGCCTAATACTGGAATAAGAGCATTCACTAATATATATATAAGCACTGTACTTTCAGATTGCTGCTAGATGGAAATGACTTATTCCTTATTGGATTACAATGGAATGTACAGACATTTTAGCTTTGTATTTCAAATATATCAAACTAATAATGATTGGATTTTTTTTTCTACAAATCTACTTCCTGCTCTATTGAACTACATATAAAAACTTTCATCGTAATGTTTTGTATTATTTCCTTTAAGTTTATGTAAACTCACCTGCTATACTTCATATTCTGAGAAACACTAAGAGTTACTTCAATGTATGGCCCCAATGTGTCAGGCCCCAATTATACTGAATCACAGCCTTGACTCTTGAGTAAATGTACTCACATTTAAAAATAACACTGGTATTAAGCTGGAATCTTTGATGACCTGTAAACATCTGAACACAAAATGATACATTTCAAATATTGTTAAGACTGATTTTAGATTGAAGTTCACACATTTGTACTCTAAACCCAAGTTTTATTTGATGGTACAGTATATTACACCAAATAGGTTTAACATACAGTGACACACCAGGGGGTCGGGGTGCCATAGCAAGTTATCTTTTAATAGGCGGATCTCAGGAAAATAGATACAGATGCAGCTATAAGTTACAGTACTAAAGCACTTTATTTAGAGTGCAAGAAGACATCCACAGAGTCATCACAAAAAATAAAAAACAAAGCCTAGCTCTTTGACCTCCAAAGTAGACTTCTTCAAACCCTCTCTATAACACACTGTGCAGCTAAGCTGCTTTCCAGCTCCAAACCCAGTTGCTCCCCAAAACTCTCTCATCAATAAAGTTTTCTTAATTTTGAGATTTTCTCAAAACCTGCATGTTCATGTCCCGCAGTTCCACATACCCTGGTCATTCATTCTCCCACTGCTGCCACACTTCAGAATGGATTGGCCCTCTACAACAGTCTATAGACTGCAGACTTTTTAAATCACCTGGCTGATTGTTTTCTCCAGCTGTTCTGGTTACTGAAGGTGGCAGCTTTCTGAGGAATGTAGTTTAAATCATTCCATTAAATCTTCCATTCTCATGTGTACCATCACCTACCCTTCACCTTATGAAGGACAGGGAAGGATAGGTGGGATAAACTGGCTGACCTATTCCCAACTGGGTAATGTACTCATCATATTTACAGGTCTTGTAATGCTGGCAGCCACCATCTGTTTCTTTCTTTAATTGGTGTTCCCGCTTCTGTGCACTTCAATAACACCCCCTTTCTGGGTGTAGGAGCAGCACCTCATTTTCTTCACCCTCTTCTGTGGATGAACATACTGTGTTGGATTCAAAGGGGAGCCAGAGCCTATCAATTGGATTGAAAAATTAGAAAAATTAGAAAATGGATGGATTAAACTGCTTTGTCAGATTTGTAATGATCATGTTACAGAAGTTCAAATTCAAGTTCAAGTTTATTGTCATTACACTCATATACATGGTATATGGTATAACGAAATGCTATTTAGCTAGCTCTCGTACATAAGTAGTACAAAGAGAAAAAAAAAACAACAACAACAATACAATTGTGTAGCAAAAGAAAGACAGAAACACAGGCAGTGTCCAAAAAAACAACAACAGACGATGTGCAAAACAACAAAAAGGTAACAGGTTATGTGCAAAAATATGCATCAACGGAATAAAATAAAGGGATAGAAATTATGGGGAGTGAGCTTTTGACATGTATGGTAGAGGTAGATTTTCTATGTGTGTTTGGGTTTTTGGTACGAAAGAAAGAAAGGAAGAAGGCACTGTGAGGTTCAGATCATAGGTGAGAGGTGAGATGAGAGTGAGAGTGAGAGAGGCTTGGAATTTAACAGTTTGATAGTGCGAGGGTAAAAACTGTCTCTGAATCCGGAAGTCCGGGCCCGAATGCTCCGGTACCGTTTTCCAGATGGTAGCAGATCATAAAGTCTGTAGCTGGGGTGTGTGGGGTCTTTGATTATGCTTAGAGCTTTCCTCAAGCACCGTCTGTCATAAATGTCCTGGATAGATGGAAGGGTAACCCCAGTGATGGACTGGGCAGTTTTCACCACCCGCTGTAGGGCTTTGCGGTCAGCAGCACTGCAGTTGCCATACCACACTGTGATGCAGCCTGTCAGTGTGCTTTCTGTAGTGCATCCGTAAAAGGTAGTGAGGATCTGGGGACATATCTTGGCTTTCTTCAACCGTCTTAGGAAGTACAGGCGCTGTTGCACTTTCTTTATCAGACAGGTGGTGTTGAGAGACCATGTGAGGTCCTCGGTGATATGGACACCAAGGAATTTAAAGTTACTGACCCTTTCCACTTCAGTCCCGTTGATGTGGATAGAGGCATGTCCAGTTTGCAGTTTCCTGAAATCAACTATCAGCTCCTTGGTTTTGCTGACGTTGAGGGTGAGGTTGTTTTCATCACACCATGTTGTCAGGAGATTGACCTCCTCCCTGTAGGCCCTCTCATCATTGTCTGTGATCAGACCTACAACTGTGGTGTCATCGGCAAACTTGATGATGGAGTTGGTGTTGTGTTTGGCCTTACAGTCGTGGGTATAGAGGGAGTAGAGCAATGGACTAAGCACACACCCCTGGGGGACCCCAGTGTTCAGAGTTAGTGTGCCGGAGGTGTGGTTTACAAGCCTGACAGCCTGAGGTCTGCCTGTCAGAAAGTCCCGAATCCAGTTGCAGAGGGTGGTGTTGAGACCCAGTGCACTGAGTTTCTTGACTAGTTTCTCTGGGATGATAGTGTTAAAAGCTGAGCTGAAGTTGATGAATAGTAGTCTTGAGTATGTGTTCTTTTTGTCCAGATGGGATAGGGCCGTGTGTGTGGCAATGGAGATTGAGTCATCTGTGGATCTGTTGGACCGGTAGGCAAACTGGTACGGGTCCACTGTGTTTGGGATGGTGTCCTTAATGTGCTTCATGACCAGCCTCTTGAAGCACTTCAGGTGACAGGTGTTAGTGCCACTGGTCGGTAGTCATTAAGACATAAATAAGAAGGTGATATGATTTGGTTTTCCTACTTTCCTATAGACAGATCTTATCAAATTAACATTAACATCAGCTGCAACTACACTGGCTAGGGCAAACTTTTTACACACTTTTTCCAAACAAGTGTTTGGAAAGTAACCACCTTTAATTTTGTACCATCATAAAAAACATGGATAAAATACAGCCTCCAGACATAATAGCAAAGCCTTTTTATTTAGCAGTTTCCCGCCAAAATCTTATTTATATTCTGTTTTTTTCTGTTTTGGGAAATGCTTAGCTGTACTTGAACAATTCAAGCTGCACAAGCTGCATAACGTAAAAAGTTATTATATAGGACTTCCTTTCCTCCATTGTATATATATATAGCCTTCTTTGTTTTGTAACATGTCAAGTACCAGTCTCATTTTTATTGTTACAGGAAACTAAAGTTGGAGAAAGAACTGGCAAGCATGTTATGGAGAATTCGGTGGGAAGATCTTCAGTTTGAAAGTCCACACAAATACCACAAGAGTGCAGGCAGCCGTCTCACGTTATCACAGGTGGGTTTTACTGCACTTAGATACTTGTGCAGTTTGTCTCCTCACGACGTTTCTTCCTAATGCTTTAGCTACTAGAAACAAGAATAGAGGAATTATAATGAAATATTTTTATTGAAATAGATTAAACATTTTTTTTACATTAACATTTTTTATATGATATGAGATATGAGCCACTATAATGTTATGCAATGTTGACCACTTCTGGGAAGGCAGATGATGAATAAAATGTGGAATGATGAACTACAGATCCCATGGTACCTGTATTGGATTCATATGTGATTTTGATCACAAGTTACAAATTTATATTTAAACATTAAGCCTCATTTTTAAATCTTTATTTGTCTTTTGTGTATAAACAAGGATTTGGAAGGTGCTTACATGTTTTTAGGATTGTGTCTTCATCACTTTACTGTATGTAGAGCATTTCTAACACAGGTGTGTTCTGTGGAACCAAATATTTACTGTAGGAAGTTGAAAAATCTCCTATTCCTTTGTCTTAGTGTCATATGCTGCTGTGAAATCTGCTTGTATCATTATAGATTTGAGTGATTGATATTTTTATACTAATCACATTTCAGCAAATTACTGTTAATTATAAAATTTCAAATATGGAAAACTATATTTGAAGATTTAGCCTTAATGCATTTTAAATTGACAAAAATCAAAACTAAAATAAAAAGTACACTTGAAGTATTTTAAAAATATTTTTGTTATATAAATGTTGTATAAATGTATACAATACTGTAAATTTACAACATCATTAATTTTTCTAGGCTACATGTACTAAATGTAATAAAAAGCTAATTCTGATGTGTATCTGGCCAGTTTCAGCACAATATTATTTATGTGTCTTGGCCATTTTAACAATTTATCTCCACCCCTTGATTCCTATTTGAAGAACCAAGGCAGTCTGATATTGGGAAACAAAGGGATTCAGACCACATTTATGGAATGAGTAGGATTTTTGAGATTAGGGAATATTTAATTTTTCTTTTTAAAATCACCAGGAAAAGGCTGTCACTTGTTTATTTGGATGTAGTCTGTTAGAGACAAAGGTTGTTTCCTTTTTAGTATTACTTCAGAGGACAGTCCCAGCTGTGGAGCATTAGTTGTTTTACTTTCATTTACTGTATAAAGATTTATATCCGATTCTAGTGCATTTGGATACTCAGTGTTACGAATCTAATAGTGAGGGTTGTATATAATGTGATGGGCTCTAATTGTATGTATATTCTTATAATTGTAAATATTAGTTTTGTCTCTTATTTTTTTTTACACACATTTCAAGCTACTGACAATTAATCACTGTCATGTATTCCCTGACAATGGGCATTTTATTACTTATATTTTAGACATTGCTTGTGCTCTAGCTGGTGTAAGACCTGATGAAACATTTCAAATAACAAATGTTTAAAATCTAAACTAAATAAAACTATTTTATATTTATTTATATAATATTGGTATATTGTATAGCTTCAATAGCTTAAAATGCTGTATATGTTACAGATATGTAGATATGCATTGATTATGAAAATAATATCCTAGTTATAAATTCCTGTTTGATTCAGTTCTGTCTTGGGAGATTAATGGCCCTTAGAAAACAGAGCTTGCATTATAAATATTTTTCAGAGCTTTCAAGCTTGTATAATCTTGACATTTTATGTTTGACAAGACTAAATAGTTTGGGGAATGTGTAAAGATTTTTGTTAAAGATTCCTTTCAAGATCTAGGCAGTTCTAAAGGGGTTGAAAAGATTGTTCACAAAATGAATGCAGATCTATAAAAAGAACAGAATCCAGGCATTTTATTGAACTTTAAATCGCCTGTTCGTGACTATTGCTAATTGAAAGTTAACATGCTGAAGCATATAACAAGTCAGAATCACATTTTTGTTTCATATACGTGCAGACTGAATAAAAAATGAAATGATTCTGTTCATTTCCTTAAATGTATTGAATTATTTGAAAGCAGTATCAATCTTCTACCAGTGGACTTCCTCAGTGGAAACAATAAAAAGGAATTGAGAGAGTGATGAGATTTGGTATAATGAGTCTTGCTAGTAGTTGGTAAGTTAAGCAGCATGGTCTTTGAGCTCCATCACAGCAATTTTGGTCATCTGTTTGACTTTCAACTAGAAGAAATGCGACAAACATTTACAAATCATTATTTAAAAAAGAGCACATGTACAGATGCAGCCATTCAAAGTGCGAGGTACAGACACGTACCGCAGGTAATTGGCTGTGGTATTGCGTATCATGACGCAAGATGACGCGGTTCGTGATTGGTTGACCGACAGGGGCACTCGTGGTCCGTTGGTCTGTCGTAGAAAGACTTACTTACATGAACATGTACATCAATTTCCCTTCGCGATCAATAAAGTCTTCTCTATAAACA